GTGTAGATGATGGGGTTCAGCATGGGGGTGATGACTGTGTAGAACACAGCCACCAGCTTGTCCTCAGTGAAGGTAGAGGAGGGACGCATGTAGAGGAAAATGGCAGGCCCAAAAAACAACACAACCACCGTGATGTGAGAGGCACAGGTGGAGAGGGCCTTGTGCCTCCCCTCTGCAGAATGGTTCCTCAGGCTGACCAGGATGACCACATAGGAGCACAGCAAGATGAGGAAGGAGCACAGAGCAATCAATCCACTGTTGGCCAATACAGTGATGCCCTCCACAGAGGTGTCAGCACAGGCCAACCTGAATAATGGCTGGAGGTCACAGAAGTAGTGGTCAATCACATTGGGACCACAGAAGGGCAATGGGATGGTGATTAGAATCTGAATGAGGGAGTGAAGAAAGCCCCCCAGCCAGGAACCAGCCACCAGCATGTGACACAGTTGGCGACTCATAACGCTCATATAGTGCAGAGGCTTGCAGATGGCCACATAGCGGTCATAGGCCATCACCACGAGCAGGAGGATCTCAGCGACACCAAAGAAGTGGAAGAAGAATATCTGAACCAGGCAGCCCTTGAAGGAGATGGCTTTAACCTTGGCGAGCAGATCCGCAATGAACTTAGGCACCACAGTGGAGGAGTAACAGATCTCCACCAGGGACAGGTAGCCCAGGAAGAAGTACATGGGGGCGCGCAGGCTCTGACTGACACTGACTGTCAGGACGATGAGGCCGTTGCCCAGCAGTATGGCCAGGTACACGGGCAGGAAGAGCACAAAGCACGCTTTCTGCACCTCTGCACCTTGGAAAAGCCCGGTGATGATCAGCTCAGTCACGTTATTTGCACTGGCCATGGACTCAGCTCCAGGGCCTGGATGCTGGGTGTTGAAAAGCCTGCAGTCAAGCAAAGGATCTGGCACTGATTTGCTTCAGTTATAGGGCAGTGGACAGGTCAATCCTTTTACCACTCAATCCTGAATGTAGCTAATATGTACTTGTTCAGCATTAAATATCAGCCTTTTAACACTTTATATTGATTGATTTAATTTTAGTTTTATAAATGAAGGCTCTGATGAATTGTTTTTAGAAAGTGGTGACTTCACAGATTCAGACCAATTTTTCTGACTCTGACCCCAGGCATTTAACTTACAGGAAGGTATTCTGCAGTTGGGAGCCAGTCAAATACATAGCCCGTGTTTGCATTACCTTCACTTCACAGTGTAACTCTTCCTATCGGGGAGTCGCTTTGACAGGTTGAACTTCCCGTGTTCCTTGTTGCCTGGGTCTATGCATCAGGGGATGACGCTGCCTGTTTTCTCTTGCTATACCTGCATCACTGCTGCCATCCCCTCCTCACACTCTATCAGCTACGCCTACATGACCAGTGCATCTTAGAGTCCAGGGGCACCCACCCCATCACTCTGTATCTTTGATCAGAGCATTGCTTCCTGTACCTGTCTTTCTTCAGCTCTCTCTACTGCTTAGGAATAACTAGGGCAGCCCTCAGTTCCTCTCACTTGTGGTTAATAACCTTCATACCCGGGACCACTTCAACAATTTTCCCGTTTACTCCCTAACCTTCAATTCACGTGTTCTGAGGCCCAGGCTGCTAATCCCCAACACCAAACCTGCCTTCTCTGGATGCCTTCTCCTTGTCATGTTCCCTGCTGTCAATCTCCCAAGGCCAGCTCCAGCCCAGTGTGTTGGATGATGCTGGCCTTTGTTTCTCCAACTCATATGTATGTTCTTTTCCTTGAGAACTGAAAAAAATACTTCTGTCATCTTCCTCATATACTAATCTCATCATGTCATTTCTTTACTCTACTCTTAATAATACCTTTTCACTGCCCACAGCATTTTAACATTCTTAGTAAGGAGGTTAAAGCTCTTCTTGAACTGGCTATGGCCTATCTTTGCATCTCTAATGTCATTTACTTCATGGACACAATATGGCTATTTCCGAACCCAAGAGGCCATGTCTCCCTTTTCCGATTAGCATTGCTTCTTGCCAGGTTGCCTGAGAACCCCTCTCCTGCAAAAGTACTCTCACCTTTGTGTTCCTCTGGTACATTATCATTTCTCTCATAGCACTTCACAGCTTTGTGAACATATTTTGTGTCTGCATCTATACCCAAAAAGATGCATTCTACTTTCAAATTATATTTAATAGGTACCTTAAATTTTTATTATTATTAACATTTTGGTACACAGTATTAGCTACCACGTCAATAGTACTTCTTATATGCCAAACAGTTTAGAAGTGTTCTCTGTACTTAAATTCACAGAGCTTTTACAACAAACCTGTGGGTGGGATCTAATTTTATTGTGCCTTTTTACCTTTGAAAAAACAGAAACACAGATCAGTGAATTAAATCACCTAAGGCTACACAGCAGCAGAGATAGGATTTTATGTCCTGTAGTCTAACCACAGACATTGTACTTCTTAAACCCTACCCTGTAGCTTTAGAAACAATAAAGCATGGACCCAACACACAAGGAAAGATTTCAAGTTAAATAGGACATTTTCTTAGAAATCAAAGGTAAGTTAATTTGCCTACAAAAAGACATCTCCAATCTAGGCTGAAATGCGTTCTAGTTTTGATCCATCAAAGAGAGTAAGGTGATATGCTACAACCAACTGGCACATCTTTCAGAAGTAAGAAGAGAATCATGGATGTCTAGTAATTTTTCAAGGTGTATACCCAAGAGGAAGAATGTCTCAGAGCTTACCTGTTTGAAAACTACCCTTTCCTCTCTGTCATCTCTATATTCCTCTCTCTGCTACCTCATCCCTCCATCTCTGTCACTTAACTGGTGAGAAACACTTCTACTTCCACACACACACAATACTGCCTTGCCTAGAATCTCAGGAAGGAAAGACGATCAATTCAGAAACACATGTGAATGTGTAGAGTGTACTCTAGGCAACGTGCTCTCTTTGGACCAGAGCATAATGATAGCCTGCAGACAAAGGCTAGAGAAAAGTGAAAGAGAGAGAATTTGTTGATAAGAGGAACCTCACAGTGTAGAAATAGAACCCGTACCCCCTCACAGACTCCCACTTGGTAATTCCTAAATAACACCCCCACAGAACCACTAAATTGTGAGCCATCCCAATTCATGCTATACCTATTTCACCACACTGAAAATTCTTAATTTCATTCACCCCACCCACAGAGAATCACCAATCCTTACCATGTCATTTCACAAATGAATCCCTGTAGCTCTGAGAGAAAAATTGAGTTGCCCAAAGTTCTAGGCTGCTGAGACACTTTGCATTTGATTTCAGCTCACACCACCTACCTTCAGGTCACCAGGGCTGGTATGGGTTGCTGTGCTTTGGAACATGAACTTGGACCAGAAAGATTTCCAATGGGCTCAAAGCATCTCCAATTCAGGAAGAAGTGAGCTGCTCTGCTAGAACAGACCATTATTCAAGGACCCATTTGGGTTTGCAAAACCTGCACTGGGAAAAACCACTGGGTTCCTTCCTGAAAAGCCTGGTCCCAGAGTGTGTGAGGTTTCCTCCCAATAATCACCACCCAGCTGCTTTTTCACTGATGGTCTCCAATGAGCAAGATGCAGGACACACTCAGCAAGAACCCCTGATGATGGCACTGATACTTAGAGGGACGTTATTCTAACTCCTGTGCACACACCAGATGACAGAGCAGAGGGAGGCTAACTGGATTGCCAGAACCACACTCAGCTATGTGGGAGTTTATTACCTCAGGAATCAGCCTCTTCCAACATTCAGCCGTCTTTGATGGTACAGGGTGCTATTACTTCTGCAATTCAGGGACAGGATTTGGCCCAAGGACAAACCTGTGGTCCTGGGGCCTTTGAGATTACAAAGTAGATGATGTCTAAGATAAATTACAAGAAAGAAAAATTCAGGGGATTTGTGGCAGTGTTATTATTTGAACTTACGAGATTCAAGAAATGCAAGCCATAGGAACAGCAAACTCAGAGATGATAAGATCCTGTTTTGATGTAGAAATTCTACCCACTCTGCAACATCCAAGCACTACAATTAAATGCTGGGAATCTTGAAGTATCTGTAATAAATTAGGCCATGTGCTTTCAGCAAGGGACTGCTTCCCCATGGACTTTGTTTTCTCTACAGTAAAAGTTTTCCAGAGACAGTACGATTGAGAAGAGTTTCACACTGTGTTTCAGTTATTTTAGCATCCTTCCCATACTGTTTTTGCACCCAATAAAGGGCAAGAAAACGAGGAAATCTGAAGCTGAGATGTGAAAGCACTTCTCCCCCAGACTTCCTTACTAAAAATAAACACAAGGGAACCAAAGAAAGGAAGACTCCAGGCCTGCAGCTCTGGCTCGGTGCCTGATCAGCTATCTGACTCCAGACATGCACTTCACCTCATTACTTGTCGCCCTCCCTCTCTCCACTTCCATGTAAATGGCAGAGTTAATCTAGATTGCCTTCATCATCTCCTCCAGTTGTTATGCTCAGTTCTCAGGTACAATGTTCACATATAAGAGCACTTCCTCTCCCTGTGTCTCCATCTCTCTCTCTCTCGATGACAATGGTCGTGATCTTGTAATATTTTGAGAATTTCCTCTGAAACAAAGATCATTTCCCAAATGATCATTCGTTGAACAAATAGCACTGAATCCTATTGAGCACCAAGCATGGTCCTAGGTGCTTGAAATTTGGCAAAAAAACAACAACCCCAAAATAACAAAGTACCTGGACTCGTGGGCATTCCAACATTCATATCCTCTCCCAGACATAATGGAAATAGAGAAGGATACAATGAAACAAAATTTGATATGACCTCTGCATAGCAATAACTCCTATGAAGAAAAATGGTTGATTAATAAGAAAAGTTGGTGATGTTTTATATAGAATATTTCGGAAAGGCCAGCAAGTACATGATGTCTGGGTGCTATGGCGAGAGGAATGTAGGGAGTGGGAAATACAGTTAGGAGACCAGTTAGGAAAGCAACACAGTTCTGCAGTCAGGAGATGACTGCAGGCAGGAGAGCAGCAATGAAGAGTTTAGAAAGCAGTCAGAGTTTGCACATAGTCTGAGGGAAAATCTAGTAAGATTTACTGATAGTTTGAGTGAGAAAGAGAACCAATGTTCCTTCCCCAGTGAGAGACTCAAGCAATCTGACCAGAGTTGCCATTTCCTGAGATGGGGACAACTGTAGTGAAAGTGCACCCAGAAAGATCAGAGTCCTGTTTGGAACATGTTTACTGAAGCTGCATTTCCAAACTCCCAGGAGAGTTTTTGACCGCATAGATGAATACATGAGTTGATGTTTAAAGGACAGTCCAGGCTGGCTCAATAGAGAAGCAGCAACATCTGAATATTATTAAAAGCTACAACATGCAGTGGCATGTCTTCAGGGACCAAGTGATGGACCAATGACTGGAGAACAAAGCACGGAGCTTAAGGGATACTTAGACGATGGGAGAAAAAAAAGAAGATAGAAGAACTAAAAAGAAAAGGAAACAGAAAGAGTTGCTCGTAGGAAATGAACTAAGAGAGGATAGGGTCACAGAAATTAAGTTATTGTTTGAAGGAGCGAATGCTTAGCTGCACCAGTGCTACACAAGGTCATTCTGGGAAGTGGTTAATCGTGAAGCAGGAAGTGCACAGGCCCTGACTCCACCCCTGCAGCAAGGATGGAGAATTCCAGGCAGGGCTGACTGCACTGTCCCAGCTTGGTATGGGTTTCCCTTCCCCTGGCCACCCCCGCACCTCTGCTGGGGCTGGGTGGTGAGCAGGTGATCAAGTGAGGGTGCGCCAGGAAGCTGGCCGGGGAGAGCCTGAGATGAAGGCAGCCAGTCTCAGAGCCATCAGCACCCTTGTGCTGCCAACCC